TATATATATATATATATATATATATATATATGCTGGTACGTAAGACTAAGGCTTATTACAATTATCCATGACTCCAATTACTAATAATTTGTAGGTCAATAACATGAGTCACGCTGAAGAGTTTCAGGGTCTGAGTTCACTGTGAGTAAACTGACACCTTCACAGCTTGCGATTCGCAGGCACCAGTACTCTAGGCACCAGTATACCACAATAGAGCATACGCACTAACACACGACCTTCACGATTATGTTGTAGATGTGTTATATCCGTTACAAGTTGAGAATTCGTGAAAATATTTTCTGGCGTCGCTAGTTTTACAACAAATACCGATGCGATGACTATTTCCATCTTCTGAGGTATTTTGTAACCAGTAAGCATAGCATGCAAGTAAATCAACATAGCAGAGAATATGCCAAAATTCCTATGCATGACCTGTTTATAACTAAAACAATCATAGCGAATTTGTACATCGGGATCTTTCATATCTGAAACCCTATACTGCGCGTTTAGGATTCATTACGTTGACTCATTTTGCACACGAGTGTGTGAAAAGAACATTTGACACGCAGCGCCATCTATCGCTAGCTTTTTATATAGTATATAGTATTATCGTCTGCACATCTCTGTATGATATCTTGAATCGTGCTGAATATCTGTATATATATATATCGTGCATATAGCTATAGCTATAGCTGTGCATATAGCTGAATAGCTATATATATTGAATCGTGCAAATATTTTGATTCGGACTGTGGCTGCGCAGGATCGGACGAACAAACGCATTCACACCGGATTTATTGAACGTGCAATCCCGTTCAGTGGTCTTCAAAATGAATAGTTCACGTGCAAGTCAGAATTTTTTGCAACGTTTTGTTATAAAAAAATTAAGTACCGCGCCGCCCGAAAAAAAAATTTCTACCCGGTTGGAAATTTCAGTCGACTAGTTTTATAGTTTTTATATTTTATAGAACATATGCTCTTGTTGGCATGCACTTAGCTTCAAGAAACGGTCTTTGCTAGGGTTAGAAGACTTATAATTCACTCCTTCACTGTGTATATGACGTTAGTCACACAGCCTGGTCGGGCTAGCATGGCCTAAGGCTGATAGGGTCTATGTTCCCCAGGGTACTGCCGGAACGTACCCTGTGTACGGTCCGGTATACCGGAATTAACGTACCCTGGTAACTATCTAGCTGATATGGTTAGTGTTAGTGTTAGGGTTAGGGTTAGGGTTAGGGTTAGGGTTAGGGTTAGGGTTAGGGTTGGGGTTAGGGTTAGGGTTAGGGTTAGAGTTAGGGTTAGGGCTAGGGTTATGGTTAGGGTTAGGGAGTAGGCGTAGGCGACTCCCTAGACTCGTTAGTGGAGTAGGCAAGGTACGGTCCGGCATATTAGATAGTACCAGGGTACGTTCCGGTATACCGGACCGTACCCAGGGTACGTTCCGGCAGTACCCTGGAGGACATAGACCCTCTCAGCTGTACTAAGGAGAGCGACATATATACACTTTTTAGCGTCAGTGTTGCAGGGTTAGCATCGCCAGCTCGCTATATATTTAGAACCCTCGTGAATAAACACGGGCGACTTAGGCTGATGTGCCGGATCGCACACGCGCGCACACACTTGTATGTACATATATGTATGTACACAATACACTACAGTAGCGTATAGACGGACGCACAACTAGGGCAACACCTCAAAATAGAAGTCGGTAGGCCTACCTAGTCGATTTCTTGCGTGAAGTAAGAAGTCTGATTATAAATCTGATTATAAGTCAGTCTGAGGTCAGACTACGCCCGGATATTTTTTTCGCTATATAAAACCAGCCGCAGCGTCATATCTCATTATGATGAAGCCGTCATATGCTGCCTGGGAATCGAGCCCTATACATAGTAGCTCCAAGAAACGGTATTGCTAGGGTTAGAATACCTAGCAATGTATAGACAATCCGGAATGACAATCCGGAATGACAATCCGGAATGTATAGACAATCCGTCGCACAGCTTGGTCGGGCTACATACATAGTAGCTCCTATACTACATAGGCGGCGCTACGGTGCGGGGCAGCAAAAAATACTGTTTATAACTAATAGGAAATACACCGTTTTTCATAGACTTTGCTTTTATTTTTAAGCGCGTACAGCGCCGACGACGGAGAGAGAGAAGGGGGTAGACAAATAGGGAGAAAGAGGGAAGAGCGAGAGAGAAAGAGAAAAAGAGGGAGAAAAACGCGAGAGAGGGGGAGGGGAGAGAGACGACAGGAGCGATGAAGAGGGATAGAGAGCGAGGGGGAGGAGAGAATTGTAGGAGAGAGTGGCAGATATGGAAAGCGAGACAGGAGGAAAAGGGCAGATCGAGTGAGGGGTGGTGAGAGCATACAAGGGCGAAATGGGAGAGGAAGAAGATGAGAGTAAGAGAAAGAAAGAAAGAAAAAGTGAGCGATCGGGGAGAGAGATATAGAGACGGGAGAGAGAGAAAGAGAGGGGAGAGAAAGAGAGAGGAGGGGGAGAGAAAGAAAGAGAGAGCGAGAGAAAAAGGAAAATAGAGCGAGGGGAGAAATATTATACAGAGGGAGAAAGAGAGAGAGGGGGAGAGCGAGAGAGAGAGAGAGAGAGAGAAAGAGAGAGAGAAAGAGAGAGAGAAAGAGAAAGAGATAGAGAGAGAGAGAGAGAGAGAGAGAGAGAG